ATCACTGTGATCGCAATAAAATTGCCTACACGGACATATCCATAAAAGTTATACAACACGGGCGCGCCTCACCCCCAAACATCCCCAAACACGTCGAGGCCTCACCCGCCCGAACACCCGTTTCCACACCCGCTACACCCAAATACACCCGACAAACAAAAATACTTTTCCAATGGAAGTTTTTGTGCTACATTGTTCATTTTGGTATCAAAATACTCGCAATAAGATGCACTATGTAGACACACCAATCTAAGCAATAAGAACCGGAATATATGTAGAGGTACCAACAGCAAAGTAGGAAGAAGTAATAACTTCACAATGATTTATACAAAGTGTGTGTACTTACCCACGATGTGATGAAGGAGGGTCAATAAGTTGAGCATTTTGTTATCCACTCCACCTGCTTCAGGAAAATGTCCCTGAAGTTGCTCAACAGATGTTACGTAGGTGGAGTGGATGGTTGCAGAGGAGCAATTTTTCGCCACACAAAATACCCTCTTGCGGTGGTATTTTGTGTAGCATGGTGTGACACACAGAGCAACTCCACATGTCTTGCACTGATACATAGAGTCTTTCCTTATTCCTGACTTGATGCAAACACGACACCGTTTACGTTTTGCAATTTTCACTATAGCATGGGTGAACTTCTTGTTCAGCCTATCCTCTGGATCAACAATACGTGGGTTTTTCACTGGTGGAGGACGAGGTTCAGGTTCAGGCGTTTCCGTTTCAGGTTCTGTGTCAGATGAGGATGTGTCTTGTGCTTGGCGTGGAGGAGGAAAAAAGGACGCCTCACTCCAAATGGTCCCGGTGTTGCCAAATCATCAGAAGGATCTTGGTAATCCTCAGCATGTGGGATAGGGCTTTCAGTGGCAGGACACTCATCCTGGTCCCACCTCAACAGGGCCCATATTGCTTCCTCGTGAAACTGGAGTAGGGTCAATTTCTTGGCATCAGTTGTGTACATCTTGTACAACACATAGGCATTGTGTAGAGCCATCTGAAGGAAATAAAATGTGATCTTCTTCGTCCGCTTATGTGATTTCCTGGTGAACCTGTAATATTTGACCATTTGGTCGAAGTGATCAACAACTTTCATGTTGGTGTTGTAGTCGCAAATGGCACTGGGTTTGTGCACAGTTACAATCTTTACTGATGTTGCTCCGTCACGTTTCCTCACTCTCTTCCTTCGTTGTACTTCTTGTGTGTCAGCATTGTGGCAGTTTGTAATCACTGACACCACTCTCTTGTCTTTCCATAGGATAATAAAAGTGTTGTCCTTGCGCCTGAAAATGGTTTGATCAACAGGGAATTTACCTTTTGCAAGTTGTTGCAGAAGTTTGGGGGCGCCACGCTGCAATCTGAGTGTTCCACAAGTGTACACACCATGTTCCCGTAGCAATTCTGTGAGATGGACAAAGTTATAGTAATTGTCCATATAAAGATGATAACCCTTGTTTAATAATGGCCGCATCAAGGCCATCACTGTCTCCACTATTGTCTTACCAACTCCAGCATTCACCTCAAAGTCAATAATGTAGCCAGTCCCTGCCTCAGCAAGCATGTACAACTTTACCCCATACTTATCTGGTTTATTTGGATAGTAAACCTTGAAGGATAAACGACCACGCCACGACATTGTTCCTTCATCCAAACTGAGTGCTTTATTGGGAACGTAGTATGTGCCAAACTTGGTGGTAAGATAAGTAATGATTGTGCGCAGTTTTACTATTCGGTCCTTATTGTTTGGGTGAATTGCAAGCTTGTTGTAACTATGGAAAAACTGGCTGATATGTTGGTATCGTTTTACAGTCATGAAAATATTGAAGGTCCTCATATGCCACAACCGGCTTGTTTGCCAGTACATTCTCATCGTCGGGAGTCGTGCAATACCCATCAACATAGACAGACCCAAATACCTGGCCATTTCCTTCAACGATACCTCTTGCCACATCCTCATGGTGCGCCTGGAAGCATTCTGAATAAATTGTCTGGCATACTTGTTCGTTTCCACTGTGATATATTCAATGAGGGCCCGTGTCAGGAATAATTGTATAAATTGTACAGGAGTGGTTGGCACTGGGACAGTTAGGCCTGGTGTGGCAGTGAAACTGTCTACAAATGGTGGTGTATTGTCACTAGACCAGGCATCATCAGGATTTGGCTGTTGAAGCCGTCCTTCACGCCTCCTTATGGGTGGCTTTGGGCGGCCCTCATCCCCCGCCTCATCCTCACTCCCCTCGCAACTCTCCTCACTCGATGATTCATCAAACTCATCAGACGTCGCGGTCTCCTCATTATCACTACTGAAATCGCTTTGACGTTCTTCCCCCTCAACATCTGCCTCGACATCAGATAAATTATCCAACAATTCAGGAATTGTACTGGGGGTAAGCTTCACTCTGCTTAACTTTTGGTAGAGCATATTCAACCTATCCTCCTTGGTGGTATTCTTATCTTTCTTGGGCGTCGAAGTGCTCTGTCCTTGACCACGATCCATGTTTTCAAGTAATACGGTGATTGAAGACACGGGAATGAATAAACACGCCTAAACAGGGCAGAGAGGTGCACAAGTTCTGGACGCGGGCGGCAGGCATTCTGGTCACGAGAGAGGTAAACAAAGGACTAGGCGACCGCATGGCGTGACCCAGAATCCCATGCGGCCTATGGAGGATTGTGGGAAAACAATGGCGCTAATTAAAAAAAAAAATGAAGATCGGATAGTATTTTATTTTTTTTTTATATCAAGCGACACAACGTAGCGACGTTAGAGCATAATCAGTAGAATATTGAGTGACAAGATATCTAGTCGTTGGAACGCGAAAGTGTAAGCCTTAAGCCAGAATATCTTTTAAATAGATACCTTTAACTACCTTTCATCCAGCCTTACGATGCACTAAATACTTGTTCTCCATTCATCAAAATAACGAACTACCCTGGCACTACTGCTTCACCCATTACTCTTAAGTAACATTATATAATTAGGAATTCTGCTGTGGTTTCCAGTTGTTTTTTTTATTTATGATTCCTTCTCTATTTCTATAGTTTTATCTCGCATTTTGTCTTTTATATTTTCTAGATTTTTCAGCATTGATTTATTATGTAGTGATTATATAATAATTGTTTTATATAATGCAGAGACTTTAAAATTTGGTGTAGTGGGAAGTCTGATCCATCTGTAGGCAAGAGTTTTTATTATGGTCAATGCGTATAAAATGTTCAGGATACATTTTGTGTGAGAACGTATTCCACGTGGGAGTCACGAGAGGAGGATATTTTTTAATTGGGAAAGCACCAAACCATTACGACTTTATAGCACATGAAAGGGATAAGGCAAAGGATTTGGGATGAGACGGGGGGAAGAAATGGTACCAAAAAACTTGGACGGCTGGGGATGGAACACGGACCTGCACAGAGGAGGAATGAACCACTACTGGAGGAGTGATCTTTCTGATCACTACATTTGCTAGTTTGTTTGAATATATTTAAGCTATTTGTTCAGTTTGTCCTTCTAAAGTTTCCCAACGTCAAGACGCTGTCGTATTAATGTTCGTTTATCCTAACCTATCAGAGAATCCAAAACAGAAAACGGGGCTGTATGAAAATTTCACGAGCCGCTACCATTTTCTAGTACGACACTTTTTGCCTAAGGTAGAGTATACGTCAATATGCAACGTTCTATTAGGAGGACGGGTTGGGTTGTTACGAGGATAAGTAATGACCTCGTTCTACGACCCAATACAAAATCATGAAAAGATACAAAACAAATAAAAAATAGTTAAATACATATTAAAAAACGAAGCAAATTTTTTGTAGGTAATTGTTTGAAAATAGGCCTATGTTAGGTGGATTAGATTGGCTGATTAAGGCGTAGTTACAGTAGGGGCTCCATTGAATGAAGTTTGAATTAGTGTTACATTACCAATATATATATATATATATATATATATATATATATATATATATATATATATATATATATATATATATATATATATATATATATATCGTACCTAATAGCCAGAACGCACTTCTCAGCCAACTATACATGGCCCGATTTGCCTAATAAGCCAAGTTTTACTGAATTAATATATTTTCTCTAATTTTTTTCTTATGAAATGATAAAGCTACTCATTTCATTATGTATGAGTCAATTTTTTTTTATTGGAGTTAAAATTAACGTAGATATATGACCGAACCTAACCAACCCTACCTAACCTAACCTAACCTATCTCTATAGATTAGGTTAGGTTAAGTAGCCAAAAAAGTTAGCTTAGGTTAGGTTAGGTAGGTTAGGTAGTCGAAAAAGCATTAATTCATGAAAACTTGGCTTATTAGGCAAATCGGGCCTTGCATAGTAGGCTGAGAAGTGTGTTCTGGCTACTAGGTACGACATATATATATATATATATATATATATATATATATATATATATATATATATATATATATATATATATATATATATATATATAAATATATATATATATATGCGAACAAGCCTGAATGGTCCCCAGGACAATATCTCTTTTTATATATATATATATATATTAGTATATTTTGGTAGCAGTCTATCCTGTAGACATATATTATTAAATATGACCGAAAAAGTAAGATTAATAATTCTAACACGAATTTTCTCGATCTTTCGTACATTTCTTTTCACTGTTGGTGGTAATTCAAAAATCAATTCTCCAAAATTCATTTTTATTTCTAGTCTGACGCGACACTTGAGCGCGTTTCGTAAAACTTATTACATTTTCAATGACTTTAGTTTACACATACACAACTGAATAGAACTTACACATCTCCGATTTTTTTATATCTACATTTGAGTGAGGTGGATGGAGTGAGGTGGCATTAATAGGGTATTAATTTCATCAACACAAGACAGAACACGAAACAATGGGTATTGAATGGAAGTGATTGTAGAAAGCCTATTGGTCCATATTTCTTGATGCTTCTATATTGGAGCGGAGTCTTGAGGTGGGTAGAATATAGTTGTGCATTAATTGGCTGTTGATTGCTGGTGTTGACTTTTTAATGTGTAGTGCCTCGCAAACATCAAGCCGCCTGCTATCGCTGTATCTGTCGATGATTTCTGTGTTGTTTACTAGGATTTCTCTGACGATGGTTTGGTTGTGGGAAGAGATTATATGTTCCTTAATGGAGCCCTGTTGCTTATGCATCGTTAAACGCCTAGAAAGAGATGTTGTTGTCTTGCCTATATACTTGTTTTTTTGGAGCTTACAGTCCCCAAGAGGGCATTTGAAGGCAATGACGACTTTGGTCTCTTTTAAAACGTTCTGCTTTGTGTCTGGAGAGTTTCTCATGAGTAGGCTGGCCGTTTTTCTGGTTTTATAGTAAATCGTCAGTCGTATCCACTGATTTTTGTCTGTAGGGATAACGTTTCTATTAACAATATCTTTCAGGACCCTTTCCTCCGTTTTATGTGCTGTGGAAAAGAAGTTCCTGTAAAATAGTCTAATAGGGGGTATAGGTGTTGTGTTAGTTGTCTCTTCAGAGGTTGCATGGTGTTTCAATTTCCTTCTTATGATGTCTTCGACGAAACCATTGGAGAAGCCGTTGTTGACCAGGACCTGCCTTACCCTACAGAGTTCTTCGTCGACTTGCTTCCATTCTGAGCTGTGGCTGAGAGCACGGTCGACATATGCGTTAACAACACTCCTCTTGTATCTGTCTGGGCAGTCGCTGTTGGCATTTAGGCACATTCCTATGTTCGTTTCCTTAGTGTAGACTGCAGTTTGGAAACCTCCGCTCTTTTCCATGACTGTTACATCTAGAAAGGGCAGCTTCCCATCCTTTTCCATCTCGTAAGTGAAACGCAGCACGGAACTCTGCTCAAACGACTCCTTCAGCTCCTGCAGATGTCTGACATCAGGTACCTGTGTAAAAATGTCGTCAACATACCTGCAGTATATGGCCGGTTTCAAGTTCATGTCGACTAAGACTTTTTGCTCGATGGTACCCATGTAGAAGTTTGCAAACAGGACACCTAGGGGAGAACCCATGGCTACCCCATCTACTTGCTTATACATGTGCCCATCCGGGCTCAAGAAGGGTGCCTCTTTAGTACAAGCTTGGAGTAGTTTCCTTAGAATATTTTCGGGTATGTCAAGAGGAGTACAGGCTGGATCACGATACACTCTGTCGGCTATCATCCCGATTGTCTCGTCCACAGGTACGTTGGTGAACAGTGATTCTACGTCCAACATGGCTCTAATCCCTGTGGCCCGTGTGCCCCGCAGTAAGTCAACAAATTCCTTTGGAGACTTCAGGCTGAAGGCGCAAGGGACATAAGGAGTCAGCAGGCCGTTGAGTCGCTTCGCCAGTCTGTACGTGGGTGTGGGTATCTGGCTAATGATTGGCGGAAGTGGGTTTCCAGGCTTGTGTGTCTTGACATTTCCATACGCATATCCAGGTTTTTATTCCCCAATAATCTTTGGCAGGTGGAGTCCGGATTTCTTGGCGTTCACAGTGTCGATCAGTTTGTTGACCTTTGCTTTTATTTCGGCTGTAGTGTCCTTCGTTACCCTTTGGAATTTAGTTTGGTCAGAGAGTATGAGGTTCATTTTCGCCAGATATTCGTCTTTTTTAAGGTATGACGTATATTGGCGACTTGTCGCCTCTCCTGACAACTATCTCCTTGTTCTCACGAAGGCTTTTAGCTGCCGCTTTGAGCTCGGGGGGACAGTATGGTGCTTCTGTAATTGCCTCGATTCTTTCCTCCTTCCGCAATAAGTTCTGCTTGTAAGGTATCTTTGGTAGTGACCTTCTTTTGTGTCTCGAGGTCGAACACGAGGTGTCCTGTTTGCAAACTTCTACATGGGTACCATCGAGCAAAAATTCTTAGTCGACATGAACTTGAAACTTGCCATATACTGCAGGTATGTTGACGACATTTTTACACAGGTACCTGATGTCAGACATCTGCAGGAGCTGAAGGAGGCGTTTGAGCAGAGTTCCGTTCTGCGTTTCACTTACGAGATGGAAAAGGATGGGAAGCTGCCCTTTCTAGATATAACAGTCATGGAAAAGAGCGGAGGTTTCCACACTGCAGTCTACACTAAGGAAACGAACATAGGAATGTGCCTAAATGCCAACAGCGACTGCCCAGACAGGAACAAAAGGAGTGTTGTTAACGCATATGTCGACCACGCTCTCAGCCACAGCTCAGAATGGAAGCAAGTCGACGAAGAACTCTGTAGGGTAAGGCAGGTCCTAGTCAACAACGGCTTCTCCAATGGTTTCGTCGAAGACATCATAAGAAGGAAAGTGAAACGCCATGCAACCTCTGAAGAGACAACTAACACAACACCTATACCCCCTATTAGACTATTTTACAGGAACTTCTTTTCCACAGCTCATTAAATGGAGGAAAGGGTCCTGAAAGATATTGTTAATAGGAACGTTATCCCTACAGACAAAAATCAGAAGATACAATTGTAAGTGAATTGTATCTTCTTTGTAAGTGAAATC